TGTCACCGGTATCACAGCCACCTCAACACTACCAACTTGGAAGTCAACACTATCACCGCCATAATTTCCCACCTGTCAATCCTGCTGACCAAAATCCTCCATGCAATACTTTGTATGTTGGTAATCTTCCAATAGATACTTCAGAAGATGAGCTCAAAGCCCTGTTCTCAAAGCAGCGTGGATACAAGCGCCTTTGTTTCAGGACCAAGCAAAATGGTCCAATGTGTTTTGTGGAATTCGAGGATACGTCTTTTGCGACGAAAGCTCTCCATGAACTATACGGCCATCCTTTGCACAACAGCATCAAGGGCGGGATTCGTCTGAGCTTTTCGAAGAACCCTCTTGGTGTTCGATCTGGTCCAGGAATGGTATCGCCAGGTCCTGCAAATGTACCAGGCGGCATACATGGTATGAACGGCGCTATGATGGGCGGCTTGGGGGGATCTTTCAGCACTGCGAATGGACCTCCTCCAGGTCTTTCTGCACCACCTGGCTTGGGACCAGGTAGAATGGGTTATGCTGGTGCAATGAGTTCTGGCGTTATGGGTGGTAATCAATATGCTTCTAATACTTCATTCGGGGGACCAAACAATTGGAATGGCCAAGGTTTCACGTCAGCCATGGCTGCTGGTGGCCCAACACCAATGATGAACGGTTCTAATGGCGGGTTTCCTCCTGCATATATGATGGGACGATAGACGATGGGAATCACTGCATGTGCTGAGAGTTACTGGTGTAACAATGTAGTTGGTCATTTGTGGGAGTTTGTTTGCTGCGATTAATTATTTGCACCTATCGTGTATGGTAGAGTGATGTCTTCGATTTTATCTTGTACTAGGGTTCATCAACGGGGAGTCCATCGGTACTGCATCAGGTTGCATTTTACATTTTTGTAGCGGGGTGTTTATGATCATGAGATTCCCCATCGCGTTGTTGCAATTGTGGGAGTTGCAGCAGAAGCTGGCAAAGGGAGGGACGCATTTGGCATGGTGTTTTTTATGGACTTTCTTTATGATCCCTTGTATTTTTGCAATCATTTATCGCATTTGGCGTACTTTTGCGATTTCAAGGGCGCAAGCTGGCTGGCCTGCGAGAGTTGGTACTTTTCAGCTCATGATTTGAGTACAGTTACCATCAGTCTGGGTAAACGGGATGGATTTCATGCATAGCAAGTAAAAGAGGGGATGGAAAAGGCGTCGGAACATTTCGTCATTCATCTGGGCATCTACATGAAAGGAACTTACCATGTAATTGATGGCATATCAAATTCAAGGCCATGTGTTTAGCTTGGCATATTTTCACAATAATGGGCGTTCTGGCATTCAGGGAGAGGATTTCATTGTTGTATCTTTAGAGTCGGGTTCACAACAAATTTGATCTTGAAAATGGATCGAAACAACGCCAAAGATTTCTACGAGCAATCCTTACATCTTTGTTATTGCATGGTTAGCTTTTGAATTAGCATATTTTACGATGAGTTTGAACATTTTTGGGCTTCACAACGTGAAACAAATATCCATCTAATGAGGATATAAGACGAGAGTACCGAATTAACCAAGTTATCTTGAAGGGAAGTTCAACAATTACAGGGTTCTAAAAGCTTGCTTCGGCTGGCTTTAATTTATTTCTTATGTACCTCGGATTGAAGCCAAGAACGATTGCAGGGGTGCCTACATTTGATTTTGTTCATGTGATACTAATGGAACCTACCGGCGCTAACCACTTTTTCGCTTAACTTTTTCCTGTGCTCAAGCTCTTCTTCAATTCAAATTTGATTTTTTTTTTCTCCAACAGAAAACTTATTAAATACACAACGACACAATCGTCCTCCACCACAAATCGTGGTAGGAGGACTCTTCCATCAATGGTAAGCTCCCTCATTTTTTATTTCCCCTCTGCAATCATTCTATGATGAACATCGTGTCGCCCCTATCTTACCAATGAGCTTTTGCTTCCGTGGTGATTAACCTGTCTTAACCAAACGGACTTTCTGATAATTGTTGCACAATTCTTCTTGTATTTGACCTTTTGTTATAAATACGGGATACTAATTGTCTTGCAGATCAGCAAACGGATTTCATACACTCGTGCCATCAATTCACGGATGCACCAACTTCGGTTTGTTATTGCTACCAACATTTCCACGATCCCACCATGCGATGGCATATCAACTGTACGTTACATCCTATCTTCTTGTTCAACGGTTTCAACCAAAGTACAGTGATGAACAAAACATGTACTATCAAATACAGATCAACAATGACGAATAAACTGGTTCGATTACCTGATAGTACTTTGGTTGAACTCTTCTTCAACACCGATTGAGACAGGTCCTTGAATACAATACTAATATTGGGATTCATAGAACTTCTAGCACAATTTACACTTCAACTTTCGACATATTAATCAGGTAATTACAAACTTTTCTCTTGTTCAGATTGAAATGGATAATCATCCATTTGTCGATGATGCAAAAAACATTCCATGCTAAATCCGATAGACTTGTGTCTAATGCGGAAGACAACGTAGACTTTTCATCTTTCACCTGAGGCACTTTTGCTATCAGCATACTTTATGTGGTTTTATCTGCAACTCATATACTAATATGTTTAATAGATATCTAGCATTCATATGGTGCAATGTCGCCTTTATCGTTGCTGATGGCACAAACAAATGATGGTTTGAGGTAGGAGTTGGAGGCTGAACATGGTGCGCATGGAGCACCTGTTTCTCAGGATGGCGCATAGATGCAATGCTTTTTAGTGTAAGCCTTTAGGCATCAGATACCATAATTTAATTCTTCGTTCAATAACTCGTTCTCTTCCAACCTGGCAAGCAAAAGTGAAAGTGTCATCATGCCAAATATTTTGAGTTTAATGGCTCGGGAATCAAAGTCTTGCAAAAGGTCTGCCAACCGGATCTCGGTGATGTGCCAGCTTGAAGGTCTTGAAATATAGTGGTCTATCAATGTTCTCAGGTTCCTGACCTCAAGCCTAGACTTGAATGAATTACATTATGCTAGCCATGTAGAGGGTGTACTGCAAATCATTCGAGACATTCCATATATATCTAGTAATCTGCCTAGACTTACTTGGATACGTCATTCTACATCTATTTCCTCATTACATCCAGGCTTTGACTGTGATTGAATCTCTTTTAGCAAAGTAGGTGGCAAAGACCAGCGTTGTATTTGTTGCTAGCGATATGGATTTCTGGGAGGGAAGTTGATTGGCTGGCTTTTTTGCTTGCCAGCTTGCCAGCTCTCTTGCTCTGCTACTTTCTGTGTTTCCTTTTCATGAACAGTAGATGGGTGCGGAGATGGATCATGTTCGGCGGCAGCCAAGCGTCGCAAATTCAAGTTGATACATTCATTACGATTAGGAGTCGCAGAGCATTGGTTGAGTATTGGTTGAGCATTTTTTGGATAGGTAGTAAGTGATAGTTTGCTCGCGTGTGGGTTGTGTGTGTATATGATCGAGTGAGAGGACATCGCAGAGACAATTGGGGTTGTGGTGATGTGGTGATGTGGTGATGTGTGGTGATGGGTATTTGGTGAGGTTTGTGAGTTTTGTGTAGATGGGGATGGAGGATGGATGATGGATGATGGATGATGTAGGATGTAGGATGTTCATTCCCCTGGTGGAGAGGTTGCTGGAGTCTGGAGTTGTAGTTTGCTGTGTTTGATTTGATTTTTGGGGTGTGAGAGGAGTACGAGGATGCTTGGATGCTTGGATGCTTGGATCTGTATTTTGGAGGGGTTGCGATGTTGTAGGTGTTCTTGTTCTTTCTTTTGAAGTGTGGATTTTGTGAATGGATGGGTGGGGAGTGAATTATGGATGGGTTGGGATGGCATGCTAGATGGGAATTTTGGAATTTGGTGGTAGGGTGGTGGTGCTGTTGGGACTTGGTTTGGTTTGGTTTGGTTTGGTTTGGTTAAAATCTGGCTGTTGATTTGTTGGGTTGCGTTGGGGAGGGCTGGGAAGAGATGGGAAGAGATGGATGGTATCGAAGGGATGATGGAGAGTGAATACCAGGGCGATGAGTTAGATTAGGGGAGGGCAGGATCTAGTATTATGTAGTACTGGAGTTAAACGAGTAGTATCCATACTCCCGAACAACCAGAACAAAACACAGGTGTTCAATTGCACATTCGATTTAAGTTAGACCACCAGATACCTATTCGGTTTAGAAAACGACAACGGAGCTGACACGCACGCTCTCCATATTCTTATTTCCTTGCTACCTTGCTACCGCAGAGCGAGGAGCACGCTTTGAACTCATTACCTCTTTCGAATGGTAATTTATTTTCCGAAGATGTTGTTCTCATGGAAGATGATGGTGCATCCTTGCGAAAGAAATTCGAAGGGCGTTGATAGTTATGGTTTTAGTACCGATGCACAGATGAGGGGGTATGGTAGGTATACTCTTTCCTGCATCTACAATGCGAGCGGAGCGTCCTTGAAAGGACTTGTGAAGTATAATAATATATTGTCATTGACCTTATAGCTCACACTCCTTGTTCTCTGCATCTCGATACAATTTCCCCTGTTCTGACTCCAGCATCATCGAACACCGCATCGTATCGTCGATTGCGGTATTATTGTTGTGAGGCTTGGGGATATATCAATGCCATTATCCACAAAAAGGATGTTCTTCAAGTTCACAGCAGAATTCCACGTCAAAAGTCCGCGGATGAACAAAAATCTCATTATCGTAATTACAAAAATATCTATCGGTATACTAGCATTTATTCCCCAAACTCCCTTTTCAAACCCCAGAGTCTTCTTCTCTGCTCTTCGTCTTCCATAATAGGTGTAAATATGCATTCATTCCGTTCCAATCTCGTTTGTCTCCAGATTAGACCCGACGCCTTCAAGCTCCTAGTGCTAAACCAACGTAGAAGTTTGATATATTGATGATTAAATTTTCCGTCTCCCCGATCCGTCTCCTCTATAATCCGAGCAAAATCCGGGATCTCTCTTACACTTTAGCTCACAGCCTTAATCCTGACTTGTACTAAAGTAATACTCATCCCACAACCACAAATAATCCTCGACCACACCTCCAATAAAACTTGGCAAACGGTTACTTGTTCTGTGCAAGAATCCCTTGGTAACATTTTCATAGAAAGCACCTCGTAAGGCCCACCATCCCATTGCCCAGCCTCTCTTATTCCACTGTTCTTTCTCAAGAGGAGTAGTTCTATAATTCTCGCTGCGGAGCTGGCGTGCAGCATATTCAATGCTGAGGCCTATAGCCCAAGGTTTCCAGGACTTAGGATTCTTGCGGTAATGGGAGAGAGCAATGGCATAGATGACGGGTTGAAGAATGTGCATGTATTCTGCATATTGAGAAGGTAGAGTAAGGGGGTTAAGAAGCGAGATTGGCGCTTTGATATCGTCGGCAACGAGAACTTTGGAAAGTAGATAATTTGTGACGTCGCTTGGATTTGGAAGATTTGGAAGTGTTAAGCCTGTTCTCTTTAATTTGTATTCCTTTCCCTCGCGATTCTTGCGGAGCTTCTCTTCTTCTCGCATGGCTGCCGTGTCATCGGTATCGAGCCAAGGGGGTATTTCCTCGGTTTCCGTAAGTGATTCCTCGGGTATGATATCACGTTCGGGAAGAGGTGGTGTAACAAGTGGTCGTCCTTTGGTGATTCTTAGAAGTAGGAGTTTACAGATTGCCTTGATAAATTCAAGAAATACTACCACTCTCCATCTCATCTTCTCTCCTTTCCTTTTGGCCATCATCTCCCATAATAACTCGGTATACTGTATCATACTCAGTAACATGGCAATTCTTCTATACATCCGATTGCCCTTGACCCAATATTTGGTATATCGATTATGTGCATTTTGTCTGGGCATACCGGGGAGTTTGGATAGGGCGCGAGAGAGAAGGGTATCATGATAAAGTGAGAGTAACTGAATAGAAGAATGTAGGGATTCAGATGCGAGTTCGGCATCCCGAAATCGACCGGGTATTATATATGTCAGAGAGCGCAAAGCCGATTCGATTTGGGTAACGGAAGATTGGTTTTTGAGGATGAAGTCGGAATAGAGGTGTAGCGCGTTAGGGACCTTCTCCCGCACACTTTTTAGGGAGTCCATGATTGAGATCTATTCATGAGATAAGATGATCGTTGTGACTGAAGAGATTTTGTGGAGAGAATGAAGATGAAACGCGCTTGTTGGTAGCGATTGAATGTTGGATTTGGATATGCCGTCGCAAAGGGGGGTTGGAGCTTAATTTCGATCCTCAGCCTCGGCCCCAGATTTGGACACGCACGTGAATTTTAGTGGTGGGTCGGCGATAAGTTAGCTTCCGCGTTCCTTTGCATTAATCCCTGTATATCAAAATTGATAAGACGAAGCGCGAGGGCAAATATTGAGATACATAGGTAGGTACTGACAATGTACTGAAGTAGAGAGGTGTATTAGATTTTGCCCTACGGTTTCCCTTTTGGAAAGTTTCATAGTACACCATGCCCAAACGCCGAAGATCAAGTACGTCTCAAAACGATCTACCAATAACGAAGAAACATTGCCTCCCACGGAATAAACGCGATCACATTTCTCATCTGTCCTCCGAACTTCTCATCCGTATCCTTCATCATCTACCAATTGAGACTCTCCTATCCTGCCACTCTGTTTCCCAACATTTCTATACTCTTACTCACGATTCTCAACTATGGAAATCATTATATTATTCTCGATTTGTGTTACCACGCGCATTGCGCATCCCGGGGATTAAGAGCAGAGAGAAATCGAACAAAGAAAGAAGTACGGGAGAACTGGGGGGAGAAGGGAGTAGGAATAAATCTGAGAATGAAGAAAGGTTTCGGTTTAGTTCGAGGAGGAGTAGATGGTTGGATGAGGAAGGGTTGAGAAACAGAGGTGATGGGAGAGAGACCAATTGGAAGAGGCAGTATAAACTGAGGCATAATTGGGCGAGGGGTGCATGTGAGGTTAGAGAGCTCGAAATTTCGGAGAGAGGAAAAGTACCGACTATATTGGTAAGGTTAGCAGGAGGAGTGGTAATTACGGTTGGTGAGATGGAGGGTTTGAAGGCTTGGGGTCTTAAGGAAAGGGGATTGGTTACGACGTGTGGATTGGACGAGGGAATACCTACTTGTTTAGCCGTCGATGAACAAGATGAGGAGAAAGGGAGATTAGGGATTGTGGTAGGATTTGAAGACGGAGGCTGGGGAACTTGGGTACTCGATGTGGAAAACAAGATATTTGTGAAAAATTACAGGCATCCGCCGAGCAGTAACGGGATGTTAAGCGCTATAGCTTACACACATCCATACATATTGAGCATCACGGAAAGGCAGCTCCTTTCGTTCTATACGCTTAGTCCTGTCGGGCCAATGCAAGAGTCTGAAGATAAGGACAAGATCACCAATATTCAGGAGAATGTGGAAACCCCAATCCGTCCGCATCTCTTGACATCTCTCAAATCACATTCTTCGTGGCCACCACTATCCCTATCCATCCGTCTCACCTCATCCACTATTATCGCCTCAGTCGTTTACACCCTCCCAACCTACCTAAGCGGACACACTATCTCAATTCAGGAACTTCACTTCACTCTCTCCTCACTCGAGCTCCCAACCCTAACAAACTCCCGCCTAACCTCTTCCTTCCCCTCTGGCTTTCAACCCCTAACTTCATCTGCCCCACGCGCTTCTCTCCCACGTCCAACATCTCTCTCCTACGCACACCCCTATATTCTGGCAACACATCCAGATAACACACTTTCTCTCTATCTCTGCACCAGTACACATACCTCGCTTGCTCTTTCCTCTCCCCAAAAACTATTTGGACATACAAGCTCGATTAGTTTCGCAAGTATTACCAGTAGGGGTAAGGCAGTGAGTGTTAGTGAAAGGGGAGGAGAATTAAGGGTTTGGGAATTGGAACCAGGGTTGTTTAAGAAGGGAGAGGGCTCAAGGGTAGAAAGGAGTGTGAGGGTTGGCGAGGGGAGAGAAAGGCAAAATGGCGATGGAGGTCGAGAAAGGGAAGGGAGAACATTCAATGATACCGAGAAGAGGAAGATGAGAGAGGATCTGGAAAAGAAAATCTGGGTTGGTTTTGATGAGGAAATGGTAATAGTGCTGAAATCGAGCGAGGAAGATTCAGGTTGTGAGTGCGAGGGCGACGAAGAGGAAGTGAGTCACGGGCAATTACTCATCAATGCGCATGATGAGAACGGATTAGCTGTGGGAGAGGCTAATAGTAATGAGGTCGGGAATGGGTGTACACAGCAGAGACTGGTTATATATGATTTTACATAATGTTGTACATATATATAAGGATGTGAAGGATCTGGAGTGGAAATTCGGTCATCATATTACTCATTAATCAGCGCAGATCTGCCATTTCTACACATTTCACGTGGAAAGAGGGGGGTATCATTTTCTTCCCCTCTACACCTCTCAAGATTCGAATACGTTGAGACAAGGCTCTCGTGAGACAACTTTTCTCACTTGATGGACATTAGAAAATACTTGGCAGACGTCAAAAGCAGGGCTCTCCAAGGTTTCTAATTCAAGGTTACGCAGATAGAAGTCTATCTTCTATATTCATGCCGAGTGGAACCGGCAATGCTAGTTCCATTTGATCGTCATGGACACGTACGGTTGTTAAATTTACACCTACTTTGGATACAGCTGGTATGACTAGTTGTATATTATACAGAAATGTGGATCGATATTGTCATCGAATGCTCACAGTCGCTCCGCGTCTCAGATGTACTGTAGCCTAGTAGGCTACCGTGAGTAATATCGAGAGATCGTACGTGAAATATCTAGAAGGGTTATACTAGGCTCTAGCTAAGCAAGACTGAGAGTTTAATATATTAGATAATTATATTACTGGAAATAGAAATAGTATAGTATTTCAAATTCAATTTAAAATAATCTTTGAATTTTATATTTACTATTTACTATTTACCATTTACTATTTACTATTAACTAGTGAATTTCGGATTTCAAAAACATTTTAAGTTGAAAAATTCATATGAAGTGCTATAGAATAGATAAGAATAATCGAAATGAGAAGTAGTATTCTTTCTTTGAGATGGGCGAGAGAGGAAGACAAAGAAAAATGACTAATAACAACAGACGAGACTGAGCAGTCTCTGTTCTATACTTCTTTATGAGAGGGATAGATATTCTTTGTTCTTTCATTCATGTTCTTGTCTCTCTAAATGGCATTGTTTTTTGTAAAGTTGAGGTTCTTCTCAGAGTGTGGTTTTGAGAATCTGGCTAAATGTAATTCTTGATATTCCTGTACTCACTCTCTATTAGAAGGAGGGACAGGTCTACAAGCACGATCATCATGATCTCTGCGAACGAAATATTATCAATGGCTATTCTTCCACTCTAGAAGTTTCCTGAGTTCACTGAACCAAAAATTTGAACAAGGGGAAGCATAACTGAATCTATCAGTTTCCGATACTTCTGTCGCTACATCCACTACACATCCACAAGACCTTGACCTAAACTCAGATTACATTCCAGAATGTACTTCGGATATTCATCCAAATAGTTTCATAACTCCAGATAGATTATACAACAAAGAGAAACGGACTACACGTTCTGTTAAGTGGAAGAATGAACAACTCCACTCCCACAAAAATCTTAAAGATCTCAGAACAACTCCTCAACAACACCTCTCTCGAAGGTATATACATCCCCTCAATAACCCTATTCAGTCTTCCTCTTCATTCGCTAAAACACATACACATACATACATACACACACCACACTTACACACACAAACAAACAAATCAACCAAAAATGTGCAAATCCATCAAAACCGTTTCCAGCTGCGGCCATCCCAGTTTCTGGGTCGACAGATGCAACCTCGCTCGCCGCTCCAACATCCAACCCACCACTTGTCCTTACTACCATCAGGATGTTGTTCGCCAGAACAAGGTGTGCGGGGGATGCAAGGAGAGTGAGAAGAGGACGAGATAGGAGATTAGGAGGCTAGAGAGGATGACGACGAAGGTACAAATACAATGGTAATTTCTACCAGCTTTCTTTTGTTGTAGTAGACTGCGATTCTTGCTCTCCGTGGTAAGTGTTTTGAATTAATTGATATTTTCTTCTATTTTGCAATTTTGATGGACTTTTTGGTGACTTGATATCAATGATTTGACTTGACTAATTGATTGTAATATCCACATGAATTTAAAGGAATATCCAGAATAGAGATGATGTGATATGAACTTGGAATTATATATCTATTCTCTCTCATTGTGTCCCCTTCCAATAATATATTCTGAACTTTCATAGACTCTATTTGATATTGAGTTCTCACTTCAAACTTCGAGGGTAAATGTGATTAATTCTATGAACGAGCATAAGAAGCAATCTTGGTGGTCAGGATTCTCTCTAAATTAGAAATTGGTATACATACATTGGGAAATGGGAATTGGGATATGCATTTAGACTTCTAATAATATAAACACATATACACCTTCCTCCCTAGGTTAACGATACATACACAAGCGACGAAACATAGGAATTCCAACCCGAAGGATTTACTCGATCTCAATTCATTACATCGCAAGAACGCATAAATCCATACATACTCAAGCTTGCTATAAACCCTTCTCTTCTCATTTTGCAGGTTCAAAACGTAACATTGTAGTACGTATCCATCTATCTAGATGATGTAAAGAAGATGATGAATCAATCCACTATAAAACCACCCGCTCTCAAAATCCAGAAGTTTTATAAACAGCGCGAGCTGCGTCTTTACAATCAAATACTAGCTAGATAAATGAATGAATAAATGGAGAAATGAAAATACAATCGATCAATCAGTTCATCTACTTAGCTGCTTATTTATTTCTCTTCATCAAGTGACGAGAAAGAAATAGAAGGGGGGTAATTAGGTAGGTAGTTACTAGGTAATTAAATAATTAACTCACCGACTAAGTACCTAACTTCTTGACCGCTCCCTCTCTGCTCTCCTCTCTCATCATTCTCAAAACTTGAACATTTTCAAAAATTCGATAAAACCCATTCATTAGCTCACAAAAAAGAAAAAATACATCCACTTTTCCATTCCAAATCCAGTTCTAATTCCAAGTC